CAAGCTTCGGGTCCCGCGCCTACGTCACAGTGACCGAGTGAAGCCGGCCACAGTCGAGCGTGTACCTGCTGTACTACCATATGTCAGAGGAGTCACAGACAAGGTTGGCTACATCTTGAAGCGAGCTTCTATTAAAACATACTACAAGCCGCCGAAGAAGATTAGTCAGTTCTTACCACCTACCAAGTGTCATATTCCTCTACATGATGCAGGAGTGTACAAGCTTGATTGTGAATGTGGTCTCTCTTACATAGGCCAAACAAAAAGATCCATAAAAACCCGCGTGAAAGAACATATAGCTGACGTGAAGCACCGACGCTCCGGGAAGTCTGCAGTCTGCGAACATGTTCAAGATCGTTCCCACCATTACATTCGTTTTGATAAACCACAAATTCTCGCAAAAGAACACCGATTCCTACCAAGGATGATACGCGATTCTATTGAAATTAAAAAACATCCAAATTTCAATAGAGAAGATGGATGGGTGCTGCCACCTGCTTGAGACCCTATAATTAACAAAATTAAACCCAAACCTAAGCATACCACTGCAAGACTTCATGATACTATAAGCTCGTTTTGCGTAAATCGGACCAAAATTTAATATTCAAAAACTGAAGGTAGCCGGACTAACTATGACATTGGGACGTCAAACATCTCAGTCCCCCCCGTGACCATGGTTGCTGTAAAGCACCCGAAACGTCGGGAATTAAAAAATAAGTAAAAGTAGTGAAATAAACGCGATAAAATCCGTAAATTTAGTTTTATTCAATGTGTAGTGTTCGCGTAAATTTAAGAAATCATTAAATAAAAATAAGTATACATTTATCTATATTGAGTACTAGTTGTTCCCCGCGATCTCGCCCGCATGGAATATGTATTTCATGGGTTTTAATTTTTTTGCGCGGAACCCTAATTCTTTTTCTAAAACAAAAGCAGTTCAAGTTATTCCTTATATCATCAGCTATCTGCCAGAGAAAGTCCCGTCAGTCCAGTTGTTTCGGAGATTAGCTTGAACAAACGGACAGACAGACAGACCGATAGACAGATAAAAATTTTAAAAATTGTGTTTTTGTTACTAGTACTTTCATATGCATTTAATAAAAAGCTGTTGTTTTAGCATTACAAACAGACACTTCAATTTTATTTATTTGTAGATATAGATATAAGATATTATTCATATTGGTGTCATTTTAAAGGGAATATCATGTACTATTATAATAATAAAATAATTGTTTCGAAATAAAAAATAAATACGATTTATTTTTATATCCCCATATGCTTTATTTTCATCCTTTATTTTTTTGTTTGACCAATTTTCTTTTAACAAAATTAAATTCTGAATTCGTTGAGCTTTTTGAGAATATTTTTATTTGAATGTTAGGTAGGTACCTATATTAGTTTTTCAGTAGTAATCGTTTTTGTTGCGACAGTCTCGCGCGGTCGTAAAAAAAGTTACTGCGCGGACAGGTGGGACGAGAATCACTTGCGCGGCGTTGACGGTTCGGTGGATAGGTAACCTACTGTAGGGAAGCTACTGTTATCACCTAAATACCCATAACCTACTATACAACAAAATTTGACAAACTGTCGCTGCGTCGTGGACACTAAAATGTAAACTGCCTACCTACCTGCCTAAGTACGTCGGTACTAAGGAAACAGTCTTGACGGGTCACTTTTCTTGATAAAAACATGTGTTTACATTCTAGTGATATTGTGTGTATATAAAAAAAAGTAAGAAGACAGGTAAGCATTTTTGAAAACAATTTATAGGTAGGCAGAACTAATTACAATTATTATCTAAATATTATAAATGCGAAAGTTTAGATGGATAGATGTATGTTACTCAATCACGCCAGAACAGCTGAAGGGATCTGGGTGATATTTAGCTCAGAGATAGGTTATACATAGTCTGGAATAACACATTTGATACCGTTTATTCAGGTATTTCGTTTCTGTGTGATAATTTTCGAGTTCACGCGTTTGAAGCCGCTGGCAACAGCTAGTACGGATATAAACTGCGATGACTGTTCCAGTTCATACTTCGGCGTCGTGAACTCTTGAGTGATCGCTGCATGACCACCCGGGGAAAACTAAACATAATAAAATAAGCAATCTATATTAGGTATCTATAGAGCCATAGAGGTATAGTATAAAGCGATAACGCAGCGCCTAATAATTTAGTACGAGTGGCACGATGCCAGGTGAGACAACGTGCTTTTTGGCCGCGCCCACCAATGAGTTCGAGCCCGCGACTTGTGCCACCTACGCAATTCCTTTGTATAGTGCGACGTTGCCACTCTTATTAGTTATTCCGCTTTGTAATATTTTATTTATAGGTGATATTTTGTTTATGTAGGTATTCGATAGATTCCTATAGTCTGTTTTTTTCGCAGCAGACAAAAATAACAGATATTTATTAGATTCGTTTAGCACGAATAATACAGTTTTTATGATTCTGGTTTAGATTAGATTTAATTTTAGTCACTTAAATTTCGTATATTGTTCAAAATAATGAAATAAATCCACAGAATCTGCAGTTACGAAAAAAAGCAATATCATTTTAGTCTCCGGCGAAAAAAAAGATATATATCATGATTAATTTACCAACTAGTTATTCGTTTACTAAATACGAAAAAATATTTAGACGTCATTTTTCTTCCAATCTTGCTGTACTGAATATTTACGTAGTCCTTATATTAATAATTATAATTGCATAAGTTGATACAAAATGCTATGCAATAGCTTTACCGCGGCAGTCCCCGAGTGCCACACGTCTTTTTATTTTTCAGTTCGATAGCTGGTAGAAAATACTGGAATTAATTATTTTTAATTACATATTAAAATAATACATTTTAAAAAGAAAACCTTTCAAAAAGAAAAATATCGATGAAATATCGATATATCGGCGTACTTGATCGATGTATCGATATATAAATATCAACTTGATTCAATATATATCGTTATCGATATATCGATATTTTTAAAAACTGCATCGCTAGACTCGACTACTTTATCATCAGAGTACAGATACCACTTGCACCTGTAAGTGATGCCACCGGTACTATTTTTGTTGAAAAGATCCTTGTTAAAAGAATTAGTGCAAAATCCAACACAGAAAAGACGTTAGAGACAGTTTTATTACGACAAATAACTTGTGTTCCAAATTTGTCACAGTATGCGATAAAGGGCAGTACAATCTTTTATTATCTACTGATCATTCTACCTATGTTTATTCTATGATAAGAAAACAAACTGCGCGAACACAGAGTAGCGCACATTTTTTGTTTGAAATAGCTGTTCTAGTACGTAAGTACATATTACTTCAATGGTCACATTAATCAAAATCGGGGTTCGATTGTCGAAAAAAATGTTCCCAGTTTACAAAACAAAAAACTAGTCTACTCTATGGAACTAGTCTACTCGCCCACTTGCTATTGAGTACAGGAGTTACGGAGAACTAAAGAGTATAGTAACTCGGAGAACTGACCGTATTTTAGTAGGTACTTGCGTACTTTATTAAGGCAGCAGAGCCCGTCTATTAGTTTAAATAAAAGTATTTGTTGTACGACAATATACAGCAGGGTACTAGCAATTAGTAATCAACATGTTGCCATATAGAGAAAGCATTAAAATCTATATTTTCATTAAAAATTCCGTCAATATTTGTTAATTTTTATGAGATGATTCGTTAAAGATATCTTTAATTTTAAACTTCTACATTCTGCAAATAAATCCTACTATTTGCAACAAGGCAAGACTTGACTTTAAGAGAAGGTTCCGTGTGTCTATTTTCATTGAAGTGCTGCATTATTTGTGATTATTTTGCGTCTCCAGATTTTTTTTATAAATAAATCGCGAAATAAAATTTATAGTCCCAAATAAGTGTGAAAGAAAATTTATGAAAGATTGAATTATCTTTAATTTACTTAGAAAAGAACAAGCAAGCTGCTATTAATCTTCCCTTTGTTTCATGGTAATGAAGGGGTATTCCCCCTACATGTTCTCATGTAGACCTACTAGTAGTTCTTAAAAATAACATTCCCGTAGGTTAAGATTAAAAGGTGATAAGTAATAAGTATGTATAGGTCTCTTTAAAAGTTCCATATAAAATTAATCATAAATATTCCGTATTAGAATTCGAAACTTTGCACAAATTCTTATAATGTAGTAATGTTCGCAATGATGACTAAAATAATCTTATGCTAGCAAGAGGTTGTTAGTTTGAACTGAGGTTTACTTGTCCCACAGATGGTCACGTATTGTCATTTTCATTGATGTTATGTTAAATAAAAGTAAACTTTTTTTAATTCTTCTACTTTAAGGAATATTCATTTGATTTATTTATTAATTTTTATAGAATAAGGGTGTCAAACGAGCACTCAATCCACCTTTACACACATTTATCCTCAATAAAGAATCAAAATGCAGATTCGTTGTCACCCGTGAGGACTAGACGGAATGTCTTGTTTCCAGTAAAAGGTCTCCGGTTCTCTACACTCACCATACGAAACACATCAGCGCTAAGCTGCTATTTTACGCTAGTATACTATGAGAGCGTAGTATACTATAATATAGCTGAAGCGTGGCTCTACCACGAAAAACAATAATCAATTTTAATTTAATAAATTTTAAAAATTTAAAAAACATACAATAATATTTTATAAAATTTCTGAAAATTTAACTTCTCCGCCATGAGATTTGTCAAATATTTCATCTCATTGACGCTGGTGGCAAAAAAGGTTGTTGATGCCACCCAAAAACTTGACTTGGGGTGGAGAGTGGAGAGTAACTCAAAAACACTCAGAGTCGACATGACGACTTCGGCGTTTCCATCTGGGTGACTCTCACGCTTGCATCGCCAAGAGTGTATAACCGCCATTAGAATCATTAGATGTTATAATATTTCTGATAATAATCCATTAAACTTTTAGGCGATATATCTCCAAAATAACAGCATTCAAAAACTACCAGATGATTTCTTTGACTCTTACCCTTGTCTTATGTGGTTAGACTTACGAGAAAATCGGTTGAATGAAATACCAAAATCTATTAAAAATCATCAAAGCCTAACTCATTTACTATTGCAAAATAATAATTTATCGTCGTTGCCCAATGAGTTAGGCACGGTGCCAAGTCTGAAGGTGCTTCAAATAAATGGAAATCCTCTAACATATCCGCCAAGGGACGTAGTTAACGCTGGAATAGAAAAAATATTATCATTTCTACATGACAAATTTATCGAAGAATTATTTTTACAATCTTCATCAGCATCTAAAGATCGTAATGAGTCAAGTCGAAATTCAAATATTTTATTAGCAAACGAACTTCAAAGTTATAATTCACTTTTAGATGAAAAGTTTAAGACTTCCAAGAACCTTTCAGTTCAATTAAGCGAAGAAGATTTCAATGATTCAGATGATGAATTTTATGCAAAAATCAAAGGTAAATGTCCAAAATTGGAAGCAAGTAGAAAAAAGACTCTGCCGTCGTATAGTCAAAGCTCGAAATATCTTAAACCGATTTATGTATGCAGTAAAGATAAACTAGATGAAAAAATCAAGCAACGCTTTTTGAAAGACATGGCTATAAAAAAACGGAAAGATTTGCTCGCTAGTAGAGAGAAAATATTACAGGACAAAAAGTAAGTTTATAAAGCAAAAACATCATTACGATTACCATCATCATCACTGCAACCCTTTACAAGTCCATTGCAGAACATAAACCTCCCACATCCTCACATCAACCTCACAAAACACGATCTTTAGTCACCAGCATCAATCGACTTTCTGCATTTCTTACCATGTCGTCATTTCATCTAGTGGGCGCCGCACATTTCGCTTAATTGTGGAGGCTGCCACCCGAGAACCTAACTTTTTAATTGTGAATTGACTTTGGTTGCCTACTTCCAGCATGACATTGAGTGGTGAACATTGAAAATCGTAGCTTGAAGTTGTCATGTCAAGGAATAGTATTTTATTAGAGTTTAATTTAGATAATCAATTGCCTATATCATTTATTACAGAAATTTGGAGTTATTAAAGAATTGGCGAAGTAATTACAGATCCATCCAAATGTCAATGCCGCGTGTAAAATTCAGTCATGAATATAGCACCAAAGATTATCCTTACGATACGAGTCCAGAATACATGACCCTTCTAACGAGGGAGGATATAGAGAAAGATTTACCGGACAAATACAAAAAACGTTTGTGGAGACGATCTAAACCAACTATTCCAAGAAAGAATAACGGAGACGTCCATTTGGCCATGAAAATAAAGCAGTTGTTTGAAAATTTGGAAGCCATAGATCTGAATAGAGAGGAAATGACGCCGAGAACTGAGCAGAAGATTCTCTTGAATGAGATACATAAGGTAAATTATTATGGTAGTAGCACGAATTGGTTGGCGCGACCGGGGAATAATCAGGCTCACACACAATAACAGCGTAAAATAGCAGCTTAATTCAGGTGTGTTTTGAATGATATGTGAAGAGAACTGGAAACCCTTCTTACAGGATACGAGGTATTCCATCTTAGTCCTCAGAAACGACGACTTATCTGCATTTTGACTCATCGAGGATAGATGTAGATGTATATGAGCCACAGTATCTGCTTACCATCAGGTGGACTGAGTGCTTGTTTGTCATCCTTATTCTATAATAAAAAAATGCCATTTCGTAACGTTTTCATTGAAAAGTTTAATTAAAAAAATTATTTTAGCAGACGAAATTCTACTTTTGACTCATGATATAGAAGCCTGTTCTGTGGTGCTGGCGTGAGAACTCATCACTCCCATCCCCGTGGGCGTCCTAAGAGGCGACAATGAGAAATTCCAGAAAGGCATGGGTTCCAAAAAAATGTCGGTATTACCATTTTGATCATCATTTTTATTTACAACTATCTGCGTGGGTTATGATGTCATTTATCGACTATATTTTTCCTTCTAAGCGAGCGTCTTTGTAAAAGTAACCGTCGATATTGGTATAAGTACGAATTATTTCGATGGTTCCCTGATTAGTTCATATAAAATATTGTCAAATGGTCTTATCGATATATTATAAAGTTTGGGTTAAGCGACGAATGATCAAATGTGAATTTAATAATGTCCACAATGTCTTTTTCTGTTTACTACAAGCGTATTGCTTGTCTTAATTTTTTTCAATTGAAAATATTCATCCCACAGGTAGTGGGTACATGGACGCGGCTTTTTCTCTTCCCATCTCAAGAATATAGAGATCCATTATAATTATTCCATCTTAGTCTCAGAGGCGAAAACGCACCTGAAGCCTTCTTAATAATTATTTCCATATGTACGCGACCATTACTCATTGAATAAAAAACTATTTTCATTCACTGTGTGGGTTTTTTCCTGTGGGAAGCCGAAATTATGACCATATCCTTCTCAGCCTCTGCCATAATATCGGGTGTCCCAGAAGTTGACGTAGAGCCGAAACTTTCTGATAGGCGAGGCCATACTAGTTACCGGAAAAATATAAAAAAAATCTAAGTCATGTATTTCAGAAATTATAGTAATTTTTTTCGATAAAATATACACCTTGAGACAGTTTTTTCATCCTGAATATTGAAATTAGTCATCCTGAATAGTGCTTCTTTAACCTGTAAACCTAAACCATGTGCCGATCACTCCAGCTTGAAAGAAAATGTAATTTTATACCGAACCAAGTTTTCAGAATTAGTTTTTCGCACGACTTCAACTGCCCCTCCTGGAAAAAAATTGTACTACGCCAGTTTGGCAAGTAGCTTTAAAAGTAAGTGCATTTAATAAGGATTCTAACGTGGTATAACACTTACTCCATTATTTCTGAGATCAGCCATAAAAAATTTTTTGTTAAACAAAGTCAGTTTTTAACAATTTTTTGGAACTTACATTAAAAATATTCTACTGCAACCAAAGCGTTCCTAATGACCACAGCGTGGTTTAAATGAGATAGAGACAGACATTCCATAAAGTTTGAGCGAGACAGACAGTGACGCTAATGAGACAAAGACGCAAATGAGTGAACAAGACAGAGAGCCATTCTAAGTGTGAGCAAGACAGGTAGTGACGCCTCTTATTGGTTTCGGTACACGCACTACAAATCAGTCAAGTACTCTGTGAAATCAGTACGCATGGTTACTTCGTTTACTACGCATCTTTTCGTATTTGCTAGTGATATCTTTTGTTCTTACTACTTTGGCATCGTTTGCCTGTGATTTGGATTTGGACATTTGTGATCTCTTAACGACGACCTTTGCTTTTCCCTGGACTAACGTGTTATTGTGTATTTGTACCATACCATGGCTGTGTACACCACACAGGAATATGCCAACATACGCCTCATTTATGGGGAATGTCAATGGTGGACGTACAGTGGTAACGTACAGTGGTGGACCGCCAAGCATCCAGATGCTGTGGATGGTATCGGGACGTTTGCCGCGCAGTGCATTCACGAAATTTGGCGGCTGGGATTAATCCGAACAATTCCTCAGAGCACTTCCCATGGTATATGCGAAAGAAAATGCAAAGAGATGCAACATCTCTTCGCAGCGCCAGTATCGACCCGATCGGAAAGCACTCGGTCGTCGACGATTCGAGCCGCTCTGCGCTGGATGCGGTCAAGTGGAAGGAGCTAGTACTGGAGAGCTCCAGCCCAGAGATGGGAATAGTCTTCCATGTGCGGCCGAACCTGCGCCTTGTAAAGTTGCAGGCGGTGTGCCGGCATGAAATACTGTCCCGCTCTGCTGAGTACGCCAAGCTTTTTAGAGGCTAATTTGGCCTTCTCTTCCAAGTCCATATCCTATATGTCGACGCCGAGGATTCCGATACTGGCTGAGGCAACAAGCGGAGTACCTTGAAACTGAGGAGATACGACAAAAGGGTTCTTTTTAGCGGTTAACGCGCAAACTTGTGTCTTCTGAGGGGGAAACTGGACTAGATTTAGTCGCCCACAATCTGAGACTCTGTTCAGCAAAGACTCGACTTCAGACACAAATTTGTCCAGGTACTCGGAGACGTTTTCTCAAGAAATATTGGCACGGCCGGTGTACAGAGCATCACCAGTGCTGTCATCTGCATAGGAATGAATGTTACGGGTTTGTAACATATCATTGATATGCAGAAGAAACAGCGTTGGCGATAGCACGCAGCCTTGTGGAACACCAGCATTAGTAGGCTTGTAATCGGAGCTTGCACCGTCTACAACAACCTTGATGCTCCGATCTGCAAGAAAGCTGGTGATCTAATCGCACAATTTCTCGGGAAGCCCATAAGAAGGGAGCTTCGAAAGAAGCGCTTTGTGCCAAACCCGATCGAAGGCCTTCGCAATTTCCAAACTAGCGGCGCTTTCAACAATGGTTACAAAGATCCAAGTCGCTTATATGTTTCTTTACTATTAGAACTTAGTATCATACCAAACTAACTGTAAAAATTTGCAACACAGTTATTTGCAATGTAATTTAATCATCACTTGATTTAGAAAACAATTCACTTGATTGTTCGAATAATAAATCTCATCCTATTTTCTTTATAGTTTTAGACGTATTATGATAGTAAAATAATAAATAAATTAATAAATAAACAAAAACGAGTACACCGATGTCGATTGTTGAACGATAGTAACGAATCACCGTAGATTGAGAAAAAACGTGACACAAAATACTATTACAAAAGGGATGTTATTTTTTAACTCCCCGCTATGAAAATCAATGATTTTCAATAAATCGGAAGTTATTGTTTTCACTTCGATTTCCGGATAGTTTTCATCATATCGACTTTTGAGGTCCTAGGAAACTGTTCTGGCTATTTTGGCGATGATTACCTTATGTCTGTGTGTATGTGTGTGTTTGTAAACATCTCATAACTGTAACGGATTGTCCGATCGAAAATCGGTTCGAAGGCCTCGCTGAACTTAGTTTCTCTGTGAATTGGACTAAATCGGTACGGCAGATTCTGAAAAACCCTCAAAAATTCGAGTTTTTCTAATTTTCACAAAAATTTTTTCTTTTGGAATTTCTTCGACACCCTCATTTTGATCAATTCTATAATCTAATCAGCTCTTTTACTCAAAAAACGACGTCTATTGCTGAAAAACACATCAAAATCGGTTGATTTGTTCGAGGGATATCGTTGTCGAAAGATTTCGAGAAAGTGTTTTTTCAAAACAACTCGAAAAATATTTATACGTTTTGAGCTCGAAGAGCTCAAAAACGTCATAACAGGAGAAATTTAAAGCACTTTGCATTTGAAACTAGTGAGAACTTGCAGGAATGGCCTGTTGGGTCACTGTATTTTTTTTAGTAAATAGGATTTTATAAGAGTGTACTTAGCGGTCACGGATCACGGTCCATTTTGCTGTACGTTTCGCCAAGGTCATGCACGAAGCACGATGCAAAACGACAATGAGTAGGCTTAACAGCAAGCAAATAATAATAATTTTTGACCTTGGCGGGACGTACAACAAGATGGACTGTGAATAAAGCACTTTACTCCCATATTTGGCATAGGATAAAGGCACTAAATATGACCAGTTGTTATTAATGCTCTACTAATAAATTACACGCAACATATTCCAATAAATTTCTTTTTTTTTTTGTCTTATTTGAAAATGAAATTAGAAAAAGCGAGACAAATACATTGACAGAATTGTAGGTTTTATGCATATATTATGTACATATATGTACGCACCATGGAGGTTAGAGAACTAACCTTCACGGTACGCACCTAATCACTCAAAGAGTCCGCCGGTGGCGTAGACAGAGAAACCTATAGACTAATGATCAGCGTGGCCTCGAGTGAGAAAGGACGATAACGAATTTTTAGGTTATACAATAATCTTTATGACTTTTAAACACATTTACCTAGATAAAAAATTTAATTGTTCTAAGAACTGAACTGAACAAGATTCAGCAATCTTAGGCTCACAAAACACTTTTTTCTCACTTAAACCAACTTGTAAACTCCTTAAATCGCTACGCTTTCAAAGTTGTTTAGCAAACTGTAGAGTTTGCTAAACAAAAAAACCGGCACGGTGAAAGGGACAAACAATCACACCGCTCTACCTCATTTCTATGCAAGACGTATGCATAAATCTATCTTTTTCTTGTGCGAATGCGAAAGAAGGCGTCAATTTGTCTATAGGTTTCTCTGTCTACGGCCGGTGGCCTGTGTAGCTCTGTGCCATAAAAGCGATATACTCTATGGAATTTATCGATAAAACTTTTTGATGGTTCTGTTCGTTAGAAACAAACTTGATAGAATTTGTTATTGTATAAAGAAATGTCTGATAAATTAAATACATCATTGCAATCTAACCTATACGAAGAGGAGTTTAATGAAGACAAAACTTGGGATTTATCTTACCAAGGCTTAGAAGT